CAATGGACCAAACCACATTACACGACACACACATGCTCCAACCACCCCCTACATTCCTCCAGATTCACCTATCAAAAAAGAAAGAAAAGGGTTAATAAATCCAGGGTCAACGACCGCCCGTCCCCCAAATGTCAACTCAAGACTCAACCCCCTCCAAAGGCACACAAGTCTCGAAAAAAAGAACACGAAAGAAAGCCAAAAAAAGTCAGAAGCAAAACTCAACTCACCTCCTCGACCTCCAAGAAAAATCCCAGCTCCTCCTTAACGCGCGCCACAGCCGTCTCTGCTCTGTCCTTGCTCTCCTTCCTAGTTGCAGGCGGGCCAGGGCCGCAGCAGAGCTCGTAGAGGTACCACGGCGTGGTGTCCTCGTACCTCCGCGCAAGCACGACGGTGAGGCCGTGCAGGAGCGCGGCGGCTGTGAGGAGGGAGAGCGGGAAGCGGAGGACGTCGGGTTCTGTTTAGGGGGGTGTAGGAGGGGGCAAGAAGTGTCAGTGTTAGTGTTGGTGACACCCGTCGTTAGTCCAGGTGTCGGTTCCAATTGTGCGAGAGAAAGAAAGAGAAAAGATGCGCTCCGCTGGGAGAATAAAAAGAAGAAGAAAAAAAAGAAAGTTGCGCTACGTGTGTGGGTGCACACGTTTAGAGGCTCAGAGCTGTTGAGGGTGAAATAAATAAAGCCGAGTAATCAGCGTACAACCCCTAGCCCGTGAAGGCATAAAATCACGACCACCCAGACGCCTTCCGCACCACACAAAGCCAAAAAGGAAAGAGAGAAAAAACGCAAGAAACCAAGAAACCAAGCAACCCCAAACGCCCCAAGCCCAGCGGACCGGTATGGAATATGAACCACTCACCAAGCACAGCTCCAAAAAGCGCCCTCCACGTCTCCCTCTGTACGCAATTCCAGAGCTGTCCATCACCTTCACGACCCTCTTCATCGAAGCCACATCGAAGGACACGCCCGAGGGCCGGCACGGCGTCCCACAGCTCAATGAGCAGCCCCTGCGGGGTATCCCCGATGCGGAACCGAAGCGCCGCGAGGAGGTCGCGGTGGGCGATCTGTGTGTGCGGGTGCCGAAAGGGGGGTGGTAGGTGTTAGTTGTTTGGATTTGAGAGGGGGATAATAAAATAAAATAAAAAACATATCTACGTAATCGACAGAGAGGGGAAGGTAGAAAACCAAAACCAAAAGCAGAAAAAAGAGAAAAAGGGAGAGCCTCACCTCAAGATCATCATACCCCACCGTACCATGCGGCGCGAGCCGCTGAAACTCGTACGCATACACGGGGGAAAGCGGGTACAGGAAGTCGCGGTGGTACTGCGTGTGGGGGGGATATCAATTTTCGTGTTCTGAGTAGCCAGGCGGAAGGCGAAGAAATTCCCAAGGGCGCGCAACGAAACCCCCACCAAAAAAAACCCCAAAGAACACAAAAGAACCGCACCTTGACACTAACAGCCAAACAAGCGACCGCCATATCCCAAGTAACAAGTACCTTTCCCTCCTCGTCCAGTTCGACCCCGAACGTCCATCCACCTAGACCTAGATCTAGACCCCATTGCTCCATCTCTGCTTGGACTTCCTCACCCCGCTTCGCACAATCCTCCTCCTCCACCGATCCATCAACCACCGCACCAACCGACGCCCCACCCTGCGCCCAAAAGAACCGCAAAAACAGATACGCAGCATGGAACCGCGTCTCGGGCGACGTCGCGAGCTGGTCGTGCAGGTTCGAGGGGTATTTATTATGTTTCGGATTCTGATTCGGGTTCTTGTGTTTTCTTGTGCGTTTTTCGGGTTGAAGCTGGGGTTGGTGGGTGGCGGTTTGGATTTGTGTTTGTGTTTGTGTTTGGATTTGTGTTTGGGCTGTGGAAGGGGAAGAGGCGGTGGTGGTGGTAGTAGTGGAAGAAGCCGAAGAAGAAGAAGAAGAATGAGAAAAAAAGGTGGTGGTGCTGGAAGACGAGGAAGAGGGAGAAGTGAAAGATGCCGGAGACGAAGGTAAGCGAAGGGCGGGGTTGATTATATGCGGGAAGCTTGTGGTTGAGGAAATGGAGCTGGTGCTGCTGCTGGAGAGGGATGTGATATCCCAGTCGTCTTCCTGCTCGTGCTCGTGCTCGTGCTCGTGTTCTTCGTCTTTGGATGAGGAGGACAAGGTATGATCTTTCGAGGTGGGCGGGACGACCTGTGGTGTGATGGAGGGTCAGCTGAAGAGTAAAAGACCAGACCGACGAAAGTAAGCGAGAAAGGAGACGAACGAAATGAACGAAGAATGGACGAACACAAGAAAGAGTGATAGGAGAAGAATCGAAAAGAGGCCCCCCGAAACCAGGACGAAAAAAACGAACCTCCAAAAACCATTTGACACACTTCCCCCTCAGCTCCTCACCAATGATACTCCAATCCCGGCCCTCGTTCCCAGTCGCACCCAACCCCATACCGGCACGCAACTCCCTCTCGCGGACGAGGAACCGTTTGATGCGTGCTACTCCTGGGGGTAAGGACAGCGGCGCCTCGGGGGTGGAGAGGGGCGGGGCGATGATGGGCACTGGCCCTAGTGCGTTGTTGGAGTCGTTCTTGATGACGGTGTATTGGGATGCATGAGGGGAGAGAGAGGGTTTTGTGGGCTCAGGGTGGACATGAAGTGGGTGATTCAACTTTAAAGGTAGGGTGAAAGTAACCTCATCATCAGGCAGAGACCTCAAGGACGCTGCCCTACGCAGGCTGGCAGGGGTGCGTGCGAGTTGTGTGCGTAGACGGGTGTGGGTCGATGTACGGGTGAGGATGCGTGGGCGCTTACGTGGGGGCTCTGAGTTGTCCTGGACTTGACTGGAGGGCAGATATGACGAGGCGCGGTGGATAGTGCGAAACTTGAAACCGAGTTTATCGTTGGTAGCAGCAGGAGTCGGTGAGGCGAAAACGAGAGGGCTGAGGGTCTGAGAGTCGCATCCTATATCATACGTCTCCTTGTCACCGTCAATTTCAACAGCACACTCATCAAGTCCTCCGAGTCTCTCAGCTTGGACTTGCCCAAGCAGCACACTCAACCGCCGCGTGAAATACTCGTCGGGTGCAGAAGGCAGGGAATCAGTACTCTTACTCCCGTCTGACCAGGACAGCGAGCTTGGCTCGGGGGGCGTGCAGGATGAGAAGGGCTCGTTACTAGAAAAGGGTGGGGAGCTCGAGCTTGCCATCAGTGTCCGGAAGAGAGTTGCCTATATGCGTCCTGGCAGACTCAATTAAGGCCTTTGCCACATGTTGCCTCGCGTTATAGTCCTTTTCAACGTCTTTGCTAGTATATCGGTTAGTACACGCGCCTGTCATACATTATCCGCGCGAAAGCTGGGTTCGACTCCCAGGCAGAGAGTCCAGGTCTCTTCCCATTTTTTTTTTTCTTTTTTTTTTCATTCTGTGATCCATGCAATCATTCTTTTTGAGACTGACTACCCAAACCACCATGAAAACCTGACCCCTTCCCTACGTCATTTTTAAGATCTTTGCTAGTATGATATTGGTGGCCTGCAGTCATTCCTTTGTTGAACCTACTACGTTCCACCGGGGTTCGTACATTTTTTTTTCTTTCTGTTTTTTGGCGCTCTCAATAAAAGGCATGGGTCAGCCCATCGGCAGAGCATCAGACGAGACTCTCCCTCCCATCTTCAACATCTTTGGCTATTACTTATATCAGTTAGTACACGCACCTGTTTGACGCAAATGCGGATTCCAAGGCTAATGAGCATTTTCGGAGACCTCTACTCTCTGGAGATGTTCCCCTCAATCTCATTGCCCCTTGCGCGAGCCCATCTCACAGTATGGGAGGTCATCCATCCAACGTCGTATCGGAAATGTAGGGTGACGTAACATACATCTCACATTGCACCTTGCCTCCGAAACATTACCTTTGTGCAATCCTCAGGTGAGCGTCGCGGACGCTCTCGCACTCAAGGCGACGATCTCTCATCATCATTGTAGTGTCATATCTCAGTGACGCAAAGTCGCTTCCGTTGATCTAGCAACGGCACTGCCAGTGCAATCCCATAATGAGACAGTCATGTCTCTACACGGCGTCTCGGGCTAACTCTACTTTGAGTCTTCCGTCGTATTTACGATCTCAGGTATTAAACCACGTCGTCGAATTGACACCGGCGTACGACCATTCTTTCCCGCATACGGCGTTGGTTTCCCCTTCACCACGCAGCGACCCTCTAGCTCCACGTCGTTTAACATTCAACGTCTTTGCTAGTATATCGGTTAGTACACGCGCCTGTCATATATTATCCGCGCGAAAGCTGGGTTCGACTCCCAGGCAGAGAGTCCACATCTGTTCCCATTTTTTTTTCCTTTTTTTTTTCATTCTGTGATCCATGCAATCATTGTTTTTGAGACTGACTTCCCAAACCACCATGAAAACCTAACCCCTTTCCTAGTTCATTTTTCAAGATCTTTCCTAGTATGATATTGGTAGCCTGCAGTCATTCCTCTACTACAGAGAGGGTTTTTTCTTTTTTGTTCTTTTTTTGGCGCGCTCGATAAAAGGCATAGCAGCCCATTGGCAGGGCATCAGATGGGAGTACGCTTGAATCTTTAACATCTTTGCTAGTATATCGGTTAGTACACGCGCCTGTCATACATAGGATACATGCGTTGTACATAATCCGCGCGAAAGCTGGGTTCGACTCCCAGGCAGAGAGATTGGTGCTTTGCTTTGCATGCAAGCCCTTCTTTTTTGAGACTGACTTCCCAAACCACCATGAAAACCTGACCCCTTCCCTAGTTGATTTTTCAAGATCTCTCCTAGTATGATATTGGTGGCTTGGAGTCATTTCTTTGTTGAACCTACTACATTCCACCGCCCAAATGGCTTGGGGAGAGAGGGTTCGTACATCCTTTTTTCTGTTTTTCTTTTTTTTTTTTTTTCGCGCTCTCGATAAAGGCATGGTCAGCCCATCGGCAGACCATCGGACAAGGCTCACGCTGCTATATTTAATATTTTTGCTAGTATATCGGTTAGTATCTGCCCCCGTTGACGTATCCCCTCATCGCCCGCAGCGCGAACCCTTCTCAAAAAAGCGAAGGACGTTACTATTCCG